AATTACAATTCTTAAATTGATGACAAAAATACCTGTAGGATTTGCAGCTGGTTGGAAAAATACAGGTAACTTTATGCTTCGAGTAGGTACTTTTGTCACCCGCGCGCAATTTGCGGACACGACTAGCACTAACCACTGCACAATGAGACTGCTGACTGACTGGCTCACTCAACTCGTGCATGAATAGCAAGCACCTCCCCCACGCTGCGTATCCGCTGCCCGCCTGCACCTCGTCTCCCGTCACCCGACTGACCAACATCCCCCACTTCTTCTAACGCCACTTCTTCAAAATAGACTCGCCCAGGCCGAAAACCGACTTCTGGGCATGGGCCACGAAGTTTCAATCGCAGTGTACGTGCGTGCCCACACGTGGTATTTTGTGGAAGAGCCACACTCAAGGGGCCAAAGAGCCGCACGTGGCTCGCGAGCCTCGGTTTGCCGACCACTGTCCCAGAGGAAGAATGGGAGACAGGATTCAGGAGGTTAATGGAGGGGGTGCTGGAAGCAATCAAGGCAGCACACAGCAAGGGTCAGGTATGACTTGGGACGGAACCTACTGCAGCCTGACCATGGGGTTCTGGAGCACACACTGCAACCCAGAGTCATCTCACTTTGTGCCACTCCAGAGCCATGTGCCAGGCAGTCCCTGGCTGCTGGCTGCTCTCAGGAGTGGGTGTGGGGCAACCACCTGGGGAAAAGACATTGGCTCAGCTGAGGGAAATCTATGCTGCAGAAGTATCTGTGGGGATGAATGAGGAACTGCACAGGGAACCAAAAGCATTCACTATATTGTGTAAGTACTTTAAAGACAACTATCAGGTACTTTGGGGCAGGAGGTGGGGCGGGGGGAATCAGCTACTTTGGAAATTAGAAGTGGCAGTGAGTGGTGATAAGGAAGGATAGGGTTCTGGGCAGAGGTGAGATGGGAGGTTGTGAGGGCACCAACGCATGATCAGGTTTAAAGGGAGTTAGTAAGAAAGAGGAATAACAGAGAAAAGAGAGAGAGAAAAGAGAGAAAAACATTGATGTGAGAGAGATACATCGACTGTTTGCCTCCCACACACATCAAAGCCCAGAGGGAAGTGTCTTTGATGGAATGTATCAAGAGCTTAGGGGGAGAGCCCTCTGGGCTGTGTGTGTGCATGTGATTGTGTGTGTGATTATGTTGGTGGCGAAATGGCACCAAGTTTTAGATCAGTGGAGTCAGACCAAACCTTGGTACTTGAGTTCTGGCTAAGAAAGAATTCAGAGCCAAGACTCAAACTATAAGAGAACGTGTATTTAGAGAAAGTCACAGGTAGAAGTGATCCTGATCTGTAGAAGAAATGGGCTCAGAAAACAGGTTACAGAGGCAAAGAAGGGCCCGTGGGTGGAACTTAGGAGAAAGAGATGCAAGGGGAAAACGTGCCTGGGGGGAGCGGGGGAGGAGGAAAGGCGTGGGCATGCTCCCCATACAGAGAGCTGTGTTAGGTCCTCCCTTCTCAGGGTGTTTAAGGGAGGAGATTATAGGGGAGATCCCATGGGCGGATCTCAATAGAAAATTCATTAGCTTTTCAGGTGTGCCCTTTCATGGCTGTGGTCTCTACTGATTGGTCAGTGTCAGGGTCATTAGACAATGCACTGATCCTAATGCCTGCCATGGTATTGCTTGCCAGGTTTTGCTGCTTTTCTGGGCCTAGAGCTGAAACACAACTGAGGCCTAGATATATTTCATGTAAATCAGAACCTCATTGTCCTGGGGGCTTATTGCTTAAGGGCTCTTATCCGGCTCCTTTTTCGTTCCCCCTTTAGGGGGTCTACAGCATGACCAGCGGCATGCCAGGGGAGGAAGGGTCAGGGAAGGGTCTGAACTGCATGACCAGCAATATGCTAGGGGAGAAAAGGTTACCCTGGGGGCAAGATCCTTGTTTTCCCAGTTTTTCTTGTTGTCAGGCACCCAGGGATTTCCTCCCAGGTGACCTTCCATACCTGACCTATTGTCCTTGCTCTGCTCATGTCTAAGTGCCTACCACAATTATATGTATGTATGTGTAATTGTGAGTGTCTATATGTCTGTGTATATGTGTGTCTGTGTACACATGTGTATGTATGTGATTATTCATATGTATGTGTAACTGTGTTTATGCCTGAATATGTCTGTATGTGTCGAATTACACAAAGGGACACAGGCACAAATTTCAGGGGCTGTGTATGTATGTGATTATTCATGTGTAACTGTGTTTATGCCTGAATATGTCTGTATGTGTCGAATTACATGAAGGGACACAGGCACAAATTTCAGGGGCACAGGACCAAATTTCAGGGGCACAGGCACAAATTTCAGGGGTACAGGTTGAGGAGTAAGGCTCATTGGACAGGCCGACAGGGGACAAGGGACAGGGAATACGGTGAAGAGGGAGATTCAATTGCAGCTGGGGCTAGAAATCCAGAGTGAGCAGGAATGGGGAAATGACATTAGGACTCTGTGGAGAGGGAAGTTCTGAGCTGAGGGTGTTGGTCATTTCAAAACAGGAAGGAGTTGTGCGGAAACAAGGTTATTGTGCAGAAGTGCGTTGCTGACTGTTGCGGAAAGAGCAGCCAATAAGGTTGGGGTGAGCACAAGAAACGTCCCACGCAGTTTCCAGAGCCAGAGAAGGGTTTCCATGTCCAGCTGCCACAAGACTGAGAGGTACGCAGTTGATCTCAAAGCCAGGTACAGGTTGGGTAGTTGTGGCATCTCCGGTTGTGTATAGGAAAGCTAATGTGAACCTCCAAGCTTCAAGATGTCCTTCAGCCCTGCTTTCAAGTTAGCAAGATGCCAAGATCTGTAAGTGAAACTAACTGAGGCCCGTATGGAGGCTGAAAAGGAGCCTGGAAGAGGTAAGGAGGCAGGGTGAGGGATGGAGGGTGGGAAGACCTTGGAGTGTTCTGAAGGCAGAAGAATGTAGAAAACATTCAGAAGGAGGGGTGTGGTGGAGGGGGATAGAGGACCAGGGAGACATGGAGTGTGGGGAGCCCAGAAAAATCTAGAAAATGGAGAGGTGGGAAGGGGGTGGTGTGGAGGCCCAAGATGGGCAGAGCCTAGAGGAATACAGAAAAGAGGGGGAGAGGACAAGAAGAAAGGAGGGAAGAGGATGAAGAAAGGGCCACTACTCTGGAGAAGGGTGGTAACTCTCGAGCTGAGGAATTATCTTACCGGGGTTGGACTGCTTGTCCACACTTTTATTTCTTAATACAAACAGAGGCCTCAACCATATCCCATGCTGTTTAAACTGTAGGACTAACAGGCTCCTTTAGATGGCATAGGGGCTTGTTCAAGTTCACACCCTTCCCCAACCAAGGTCTGTGTTTAAATGTCTGAGGGATTCTCTGCAGCATGGAGCTTCATCTTCCCTCTGTCTCTACCATAATTTGTCCCCTGCCCCCCCTTTTTTGGTTAATTCTCTCCTGAGGATATTTCTTCCATTACTTCTTCTGAGACAATGGAAAGGAAGGAGGGAGGGGGAGAGAGAGAGAGAGAGAGAGAGAGAGAGAGATAGGGAGAAACATTGATGTGACTGAGGATATTCCTTCCATTACTTCTTCTGAGACAATGGAAAGGAAGGAGGGAGGGAGAGAGAGAGATAGATAGATATAGAGAAAAATTGATGTGAGAGAGACACATTGACTGGTTGCCTCCCTCACATACCTAACCAGGGGCGGGAGTAAACCCTTGACTGGGAATCAAACCCACGACCCTTCGGTGCAGAGGCCCTAACCACTGAGAAAGGCCAGCAAGGCCTTGAAGACTTCCTGCCCCAAAGGCCGCTCGCTGGGGCTGATTCACTGCGTTGATTTCCTTTGGCTGCCATTTTGTTGAATCTTCCCCTCAAATCCGGAAATGCCCTCGATCAGCCCCTGTGATCTGTACTTACAGCGCCCTCTCCTGTTCTTCATGCTAAGGCAAGAGGTTTTCAAAGTCTCCTCAGGATTCCACTCCAGAATTTCAGCTCTAAAACCTCCCCATCCCCTAAACCAGTGGTTCTCAACCTTCCTAATGCCGCGACCCTTTAATATAGTTCCTCATGTTGTGGTGGCCCTCACCCATATAATTATTTTCGTTGCTACGTCAGCGACCCTTTAATACAGTTCCTCATGTTGCGGTGGCCCTCACCCATATAATTATTTTCGTTGCTACTTCATAACTGTAATTTTGCTACTGTAAACAATATGTAATTATATATGTGTTTTCCGATGGTCTTAGGCGATCCCTGTGAAAGGGTCATTTGACCCCCAAAGGGGTCGCGACCCACAGGTTGAGAACCGCTGCCCTAAACCCCCCTGCCCCAGGGAGATGTCCTCCTGGCTCCTCATGGTTTCCCTCTAGATGGGGACCCTTCCCCAGCTCAGAGCCCAGGCCAGAGACTCACCTCAAAATGAGAAGGAAGTCACCACAGAACCAGCCCGGAGACCACATTCTTGTTGGGCAATCCTTTATCCTCTCAGCCTTAAGGTGGAGTTAATATGAAGATGAAAACATAGTCCAGAATGAAAATTTCACACCAGTTGTTTTTGTAACTGCAGTTGAGGAATTGGTCCAGGCAGCCAAGATAGGAATCTGTTTGTCTTTCTAAGATGATTAGTGTAATGTATGGGAATTATATTTAGTAATGAAGCAGCAGTCTCCTCTGTTAATGTCCCACAAAAGCTCATAAAAAATGCCAGCTTAACTTTTAAGAATTCACAAGGATTGTGTAGACACAAGCAGGATTCATAAACAGAAATTAAGGCACAATTACTTTTTCTAGTTGGCGAAGTATTATCTTCTAAAGAAATATGATGTTTTCTAAAAATTTCACGATCTACAGGTTAAATGCAGCTGAAATTATCTTGCCAAGCACAAATCTCAGAATAATCTCAATTACACCTGGTGCCCATGGGTCTAAGATGCTCACGGCTTGCTCAGTTCCTCTTGCTATTAATTCAGCTCTTACCAAAGTCCATATGTGCCTAGAGAGAGCAGCAGAAGTAGTAGTAGCCACAGCTTCTATGCGCCTGGCGAGAGTAGTAGCCACAGTTTCTTCTATGCGCCTGGCGAGAGTAGTAGCCACAGCTTCTATGCGCCTGGCGAGAGTAGTAGCCACAGCTTCTATGCGCCCGGAGAGAGTAGTAGCCACAGTTTCTATGCGCCCCCCGGAGAGAGTAGTAGCCACAGCTTCTATGCGCCTGGCGAGAGTAGTAGCCACAGTTTCTTCTATGCGCCTGGCGAGAGTAGTAGCCACAGTTTCTTCTATGCGCCACGTGGCGAGAGTAGTAGCCACAGCTTCTATGCGCCTGGCGAGAGTAGTAGCCACAGTTCCCTCTATGGGCCTAAGGAGAGTAGTAGCCACAGCTTCTATGCACCTGGCGAGAGTAGTAGCCACAGTTTCCTCTATGAGACTAAGGAGGGCAATAGCCACAAATTCCAGTAGATGGTCCATGGCCTTGTCCTTGCGGATTCAATCCCAAATATGATTGCACTGTTGGAGAGTCTATTGCTCCTCCCGCCTTAAGGAAGCCTTGGCCAATGAGAACCACTTGTGATCCACACTTCCGTGAAGAAGGTACTAGGTCATTTCCGTCAAGTGGGTCCAGGCGCCATGATGACTAACATTGCAAGTGCCGGAGGGAGTTAGAGGCAATGAGAACCCCCAATGCAAACAATGCCGGGAGAGCATATAGCAGTTCAACTACAGGACCAGCATTGCTTATACAGGAAGATTGAGCATTTGGAAGTTGTTTTAATGGTGGGTTAAATAAGGGTCCCCACAAGCGGAAACCTGCTGAAGTTGAGAGGCCGGGAAGGACAGCACTGAAGCAGCACTAACCGCCAGCACTGTTGTAATTCCATGTGCACTTTCACTTCACTTTGAGGAACAGGATCGCACAGCCTGACAGCCTGTTTATTGTAACAATCCCTTAAAAAGCCATCGGCCATCACTCTCCGGTGCAGTAAGGATCCTGGCTGCTGTCAGCTGCCCCACGGCCTCACTGCAGGCTCACTCCCCAGTGTTCTCCTGGGTTTCCACCTCTGGGCTGATATTTGTGTTCTCAAGTATGTGCTTTCTTTGTTTATTCACAAATTCGATGTGCCTATCTGAAACAGAGGGCAAAAACAGGACTCAGAAGATGAGAAATAGCTTCTACCATATGGGCTGTCTTGCTTTTTGCTCATGATAGCTAGTGAACATTGGGTTGAATCCTAGAGGATCTGCCCCAGAGATGGGTAGTTGAAACCTGAGATGGGCAGCAGGTAAAGGCATGGAGGGATGAGCTTCTATGCTGAACTGTAAAGCCTGGGAGGGGTGTGGGATGTTGGATAGATTTGGGATTAAGTGGATCAACTGGTGCCATGGAAGAGGGCTTTGGGGAGAGGGGCTTAAGGATGAAGATGAGGACCCTGAGTGGGGGGTGGACCTATCATTTGAGGGGGTAGCAACTGAAATTGCTTTTTAAAAATTTTATTTCAAGAAAAACGATTTTTATGAAAAATATATTTTTATTGATTTCAGAGAGGAAGGGAGAGGGATAGAGAGATAGAAACATCAATGATGAGAATCATTGATTGGCTGCCTCTTGCACACCTCCTATTGAGGGGGATCAAGCCCACAATCCAGGCATGTGCCCTTGGGAATCGAACCACCTGGGACCCTTTAGTCCGCAGGCTGACACTCTATCCACTGAGCCATGGGAACAGAGACTAAGCTAGCCGGATGGGGACAGAGACTGAGCTGGACTAAGTTTTGGCATGGAATGAACCGAACTACACCCTGCCAGTGCCAGGCCAACAGCATAACATTTCTGGATCCCGGCCCTTCTTCTGGGCTTGGTGAAGACAAGGCTGGACTTCTTGCATAACAGGACAGAGTTGGAGAACCTGGCAGTGGATGAGTCACAGTCTCTGAGCATCTGGAAACAGTCCTTTGTGTTTGCTTCCACTTCAATGAATCTTACCACTACCCCTCATCCTCCCTTGCTTTTATGTTGACTGTGTGGAAGAGCCCTATTTCCACTGGCAGCATAAAGAACAGTTGGAAAATCAGAACTAGCATTTGAATCCAGAGTTGATCCCAAAGTTTTGATTCTTAGTACAAAGGGAAGAATTAACTCAGCAACAATTCTGAAGTTCTTTTCCAGGTTGACTTGGATAACAGTGATACTTGCTATTAATTAAAATGTAGAATAAATGCATAAATGAAGGATTAAAGCAGGTAAAAAGGGAAATAGGTAGGAAAATATGAAAAATCAGAAAAGCTAAGCTGAAGAAGACCAAGTTAAAGACTAACCCACTACAAGCTGGGAGAGAAGAAAGTAAGACTAGAAAGTGAGGATGATCAGAGAGGGAGGAAGGGAAGAAAGGGTAGAGAGGAGCAAAATAATAAAAGCAAGAGAGAAAGCAGTTGGTCAGCAAACATCCACAACAACACATTTATGTAGTTAATTTATTATAAAAAAGATCTCAAAAATAACTTTAATAAGAGTGTCTACCCCACATAGAGAATAACTACAGCACTGGATTGAGCAAGACTAAATCAAGGATATTTGGCTACACCAGTCCTGGAGAAATAGCATCCATTTCAGATCCTGGCAAGATAATAACTTACTAGTAGAAGTAGGAAGGTTCAGAAATAATGCCTTACAATAGCCCCCCGCCAGGCACTCCCCTCCTGTAGTAAACATACCAAGGCCAATGGGGGTTTTCCCTAAAATAGCACAGATATTATTTTATTATGATTCTATTACTTTCTAGCTATATAGTTATAATGATTACAAAGCCAACAATGAAGTTTAATACTCTATTAGTAGGAAAAGAAAAAAAAAGGATTTTAAGTATAATAATGTTACATGCAATAAACATTAAT